CTGACTAGGGTTGGCTGGGTTTTTTAAAACTTCTGTTAGGAACTTTGGTTTCAATAACCAAGAATCTTTTTTTCTTGTAATTAAATTGTTCTGATCATATTTACAAGGACAGTGGGTTTTGACTGTAAAAATGAATACTTAAATAAATTACCACCAGGGTGTGCTTGATATACATTTTTGAGTATTTTCTCATACTAAAAACCAGCAACATCTTCCACCCTCTCCAAATATTCTGATAACAAGTTCTAGGCAAACATCCTCACTTACTCTGCTATAGCTTAGTTTTTTACTTGCAGGCATGTCTGTGTCTGTGCGCACATATATGTATAGAAGTACATGTATATATCATATGTATGTAATGGCTGGAGTTATTTCCTCCTGAAGATAGGAGTTGAATAGAAGGTCCGAAGTGAGACTTAGATAAGGTAGAACACCCTTTGCTGCATACAATGAATTTTTGCAACCCAATCTAGTAGCCTTATCCAAGTTATAGGGAAGGAAAGGACAGACCAAAGTCTACCTGCAGTTCTATGAGTGGCTGTTGAAGTTGTAGAAGCCCCTTGTGCGTGTTTCTGCTTACTAGCAGGCTAGATCACTGGTTTTCTGCCATTAATGGCTGTGATGAGAAACTAGCCACCTCCAGAAGGAATTTTCTAATTTCTCTGAGTGATCCTGCCCAAGATTGATGGTTTTCCGTTGCCAGTGGCAACCTCAGGGCTGAAAAGGTTTCCCCTCTCCTGCTGTTGCAGTGAAATTGTATGTGTTTGGAGGGGAGGAACATTTAACTCTTTGCCCTTGCTGTCTTCATATTAGAACAAAGTCCCCCCCCCCCCCCTTGCCATGGCCCCATCAGCTATGCAGGTCTACATCTCATGATGAAGGTCATATTTAGTGGCACCCGAGTGCTTGAATCATGACCAAATGGCCATAGAGGTGCTGCATGGCTGGAACTTGGAGGGTTCATCATATGTCCATTTGTTTCAGTGCTGCTATAACTTTTGAGTTTTGTTGAACAAATGGACATAAGCTGAGGACTGCTTGTACTGAAGAGATCAATGTAAAGTAGAAAATTTGTTTTCTGCCTTCTATTTGGACGTCTGCAAAGTCCGGACTTACAGCCATGAGTTGTTAAGCAAGCCATAGTGGGCTTGGCTCTCACAGTAAAACAAAATGGTTGGATTTATAATCAGCTGAGCAAAAAGAAAACTGACCAGTGTTTGTCTGTGAACCAGGCCATTGGGCATGCCTACCATGCTGTGATATACTTGGCATTATGACTAATCTTCCACTGGTTCACTGTCAGGGCAAAGGTAATTCTAAGGAACATTTGCTTTGGAACTTAGCCATTTAAAAATGGTCTTAATTCCCAGTCTTTACTGTTTGTGCCACACCTTCTGAATCAGCTAAGTGGCCAATTGCAAAATGGTCGCCTTATGGCAATCTGGGATCCATCTTGAATGATAATGGGTTGTACAGAAACTGAAACCTACTCAATAAATTGGATACCTGCTCTATCAATGGCAGCTGTACTTCAAGACCCAGGATGTGAATCACATTAGGACTTCCTGGCTTGAAGGAAATGGGTGTCTTTGTGTTAGTGCAACAGTCGAGTGGGGCTTGGTTTATGAGTTTAAGACTTTGGCAGCAGTATCCTAAAAGCTTTCTTGTTGGCTAAATAAATAGCCTTTATTGCCGAAAGGTTTGTGAATTTCAGGTGCAGAGAGGATAATAGTTTACTTAAAGTGAGAAATCTACTTGGTCAGATTTACGCTTCACAAAATTTTCACAAATCTTGTGCTGGGAAATGATTGATCCATGAGGAGAAACAGTAGGTGTGCAATCAATTATCTGTAAACTTAAATGTTGCCCTATGGGGACAATAAGGTGTGGGTCCATTTTGCTCTGTGGCCTCTCTCATGCTGTACCAACGCATTACTTCCTTTACTTGTATATTTTGATGTTAGATTCCCTTCTGAACTGAAGCTCGACTCAAGAAAATACAGGAACAATATAGGAACTGTTGATTAACCGAAGTATATCTAACGGGGAATTTATGCCTTCTCCCCCAAGCTAGCTCTTCCTAAGATTGGATGCCCTGCAGCCTTGGAAGGGGGTGCAGTGGGCTCCTAGCTAGGGTAAGTCTGCTCCATCAGCTAGAAGGAGCTGGGCTTTTAGCCAAGTTTGCAGTGGTGGCTGTGATCAGGTGATGCTGAATCAGCTGGTGAAGCTGTTCCACCTGTTCTCCTTCCCTGCTGTCTTAACTCAGGGACATCCAGCCAGCTTTACTGGCAGGAGCTGACACGTAGATCCTAATCCTGAGTCTCGTGGCCTCTTGAGGACGTAGCCAATAGAGCATGTGAATGTCAGCTCTAGCAGTTTTTTCCCTCCACAGAGTAATGAATTATTATTTGCTTTCTTATACTCAGTCAAGAGTATCAGAGGCTCTGAGGAATGAAATTTCACTATCCCCAAAAGAAGAAAAAGTATCCATGAGCCTGCTTTCTGATCTACTTTCTGGTTTGTTTTTTTTTTTTTTTGCAAACCACCCCTTTTGCAAACTAAACAGGTGAAACTAAAGGTGAAATTAGAAGTTCTGACTTTCTTCACTTGTTCTTAGAAATTGGATACAGTATTCCTAAACACTTTTATTTCATTGTAGCTATAAGCTCTGTAACTTTCTTCATCAGATGTTGCAGGTGATACTACAACAGTGGTTGTTTCTGACTATATTATTTGATGGGATGTGTTTGTGTGTCAACCTCATTTGTGTGAGACAGGTGTTTTGAAGCTCAGTTTTTTCCTCACTCATCCCATTTAATATTGATCATATAGTCCTAAGTGTAGATTGCCTAAGTAATTATCTGCCCATTCTCTTCTTTGCTGCTCTATTTCTGCTCTATTTTCTTCTTGCTATATGGGAATAATTTTAAATAAGAATGATAAGCTGTTGCAGATAAAGCTTCTGCGAGGAAGATGAAGACGGAGAAACTTCCAGCTCCAAATCTCAGATGTTGCCAAGTCACCAGTATCTAGAAATGTTGAGCTAGCATTCACACATGTATCTTTGTGTGTGCTAGACGCCTTGTTGTGCCTGAACAAATGGACATTAATATTTTCCTTGCTGTATCCATCCTGTAAAATATATTGATTGATGATTTCTTGGTTATTAGTCTAGGAACAGGAATGATTTATTCTTTTCCCTGACACTCAGAGACCTGCCAGGTTTATTCTTCTTAATAAGAGAGTTGGGAAAAGCAGTACTTTTCCTTCTATGTTGCTGTTGATCTCTTTATGGTTTTATAATGGAGAAAGAAGTTTTGTGATGAGAGGCAGGTTCTTCTTCTTAGTGGGTGGGAGCCCAACCCTTGTCTTTCTCTATCAAGATCTGATGTACTCCTGGACATAGTAAAGGCAGGGGTGTCAAACTCAATTCCATTGAAGACCACATCAGGGTTGTGTTTGACCTCGGGTTGCTGCGTGGGCGTGGCCAGCTCGATGTCACTCGTGTTGGGGATGCCTGTGGCTCAACCGCTCTGCCAGAGAAAATGGAGCAGCCCCCTCCCAAACTCTGGGTTTGCTGGCAGAGGCACCGCGGGCCAATCCTTTGCTGTTTCCAGGGCAGTCCCACGGGCAAATCTAAACATCCTACAGGCCGAATCTGGCCCACAGGCCTTGAGTTTGACACCCCTGATAAAGGAATAAAAGTATGCCAGGGATGGAATCTAACTACCCTGTTTCTCCAACAATACGGCCTCCCCCAATAGGAAGTCCCAGCATGTTTTATAGGCATGAAATGAAATTAAGCCCCTCCCCCCAAATTAAGGCCTATATTAAAACATGCAAAATGGGGGGAATGGTGGGGGGGCTTGCCGTTAGGAAGTACTTTTGTTGCACACCCGGATATGGTGCTGCCTGCGTTGACCCCGATACGAAGTGCCCCACCAACGCCGAGGTCAACATCCAAGCCGTTGCTGCCCACCTGAAGATGCAAGGGGGAAAAAATTAAGTCACCCCCGAAAAGACGGCCTAGCCATTTTTTCAGGGCTCAAAAAAAAATAAGACCCGGCCTTATTATATGAGAAACACGGTACATATCACTGTACTGGTACTGGTCTAAGACCACAATAAATTGAAATTGGATTAAAAAATAACCCTCACTTTAAGAATATTGAAAGTGAACCTAGAAGCATATTTCAAAAATGCACATTGTACAGTACACATACATTTGAAAAGTACTGCTATTCACTTATGGTCTTATTTACAGGCTGAGAGTGCTAGGTGTAGCAGGAGCAAAATTGCAGCTTCCTGTCCAATTCCCATTCATCCCAGGCTCAGAAGAGCAAAGAAACCAACCTCCATTATAAAAAACCGGACTGGGCTTTACAGCTGGAAGGCTACACAATTTCTTCTTCTTCGTTCACAGTTAGGCCAGAAAGAGCCTTCTGCACAACTATCTTGTTCTAACTATCTGTAACCCAGGAGACAAATCAGTGGAGACAGTGGAAGATAAAATAGACACTGAAAGGCCTGGAGAACAATATACCTCACAGCTCTTCCTCTTCTCTGATGCTGGTTACTTGTCATTGTATATGAAGCCTAAACTCCAGTGAAGGGTGCAGTTTATTTCCCTCCTTTATTCATATAGCAAGCTTCCCTTTGATCCCTTAACAGATGTATCAAGCTATCATTCTCCATCATCCTAACCAGGGGAAAGATGGAAATTGCAGCCCAAGATATCTGGAGGCCCTTCAGAAAGGAGAGAAAAAAATTAGTTATGTGGAAGGAAGTTAGATGGAGGGCTGATAATCTGCCCTGGCAACCTGTTTTGTTTCGGAAGGATTTGAACCTGTATGCTGTGCCCAGATCCAGGGTTCTCATCTCTGATTGCAGCTCACTGAACTGGGGCCAAAGCTAATGGAGCTTTCAAGGCAACTAGACATGGGCACCACATTTATAGGGAGATACCTTCCGCGTGACCGCTGGCTTCTTCTCTCTTGCAGAACACATCCCCGCTGAACTGCGTGAGCCCTTTTATACAGACCAATATGAACAGGAGCACATGAAGCCTCCTCTCATCCGCCTGCTGCTGTCTTCTGATGTCTACTGCCGTGCCTGGTGCCAGGCCTTGCCTCCAGGCCCTGACGGCGGCACCCTTCCCCCAAAGGACAATGCTGCTTTGCTGCAACTTTTGGCCCACCGAGGCTTGGTGCCCACCTTTCAAGACAAGCCTGTTAAGGAAGCTGACCTGCATCACAAACCAATCAAGCTGGTAAGTCTGGAGGGAAGGAGGGTGGCTCTGCTCCCAGAAGCAACTTTGATCCGGTACTGCAGGATAGGAGACTGCCTTTCCTTTCAGTTGTGCAGTGGGGATGAATGAATGGAGTGGTTCTCCAAATCTTTAGCTGGAGCAGGTAGTCGAGAACTGAAATGTGGTAGTACCAACTAAGGATTCCTTGAAGGGTTAATTCTACTAATTTAATCAAATCTCTTGGGTTGTCTAGGGACGGGAGCTCGGAAATCTGGATTAGCGTGCTTTTATTTTGCTTAGTTCTACCTCAACTCTGCCCACCACTACATTATCATAAAGAAGCTGCACCTTTTTTTAAATTAAATAAGTATTTTAGATTTGGAATAGGGTTGGCCTGTGCAGGTAGGACATAACACCTGGACACATAAGCCTCATCTGTGATATTGATGAGAATGCCTCCCAAAGGGAGCTTCTGCCAAAGGAGCCCATGCATGCAGTGGATCTTGGAGCAGATGGTTTTGTGTAAGGACCCCTCCCAAAGGCATTCTGGTAGATGTCCTGCAGATGTGTAGAACTACAACTCCCATCAGTTGCAGCCAGTAACTGGAAGCTTGAGAAGAAAGGTTGTAGAGGAGAAAGGTTTTAAATTAAGCGTTCCTCCTCCTATAGGTATGAAACCTCCCATGGCAACCTAGATGAGGGTCTTAGTAAAGTCCCTAAGGATGCCAGTCTGGACCCCTCCCCCCTCCCCCCACTGCTGAATATCAGGAGTGTCCCATGTTGTGCCTCAGCTTCAGGGTGGGGCCTTTGCATGCTAAGATCTCAGCCACCCCGTGGGAACCCCTTCTCTCCTCTTTTTCTGGGTGGGAAACATGAAGGTGTGGCTAGAGCCACCCCAGAAGTAATTTCCCCCCCAGGGCTTAAAGTACTTGTTAGGGTTGAGGATCTTGCTCCAGCTTCCTGCATCCATCATATTTCAAAGTAACGTAAGAGCTAAGATGATGGCTGGAGTTGACAGATATGTACATCCTCATATAGGAAAGATAAATCAAACACCTCTGTTTAATAAGAAAATATATATGACAATTCAGATTATGTTTAATGTGGGCAACATTCTGCTAATTCCCATTATGGCTAGAATGTGTAGAGAAAAATACAAGAGGGAATAAATGTCTTTTTTTCCTTTATTGCTGCCCAAATCAGGAGTGAAGGAAAAGTGACTCTATCTCCTTTCTATCTTTATAAGACTGGTGGGAATGATCTCTCTTCCCTTCCCTTTCTATTTTAGTGCTATGTGTGGACATAAGTCCCCTAGGTGCTTTTCCAAAAGGCAGCTGGATTTTCCTGGTTTTTTTTTTCTTTGAAAACATTTCACATCTCATCCAAGAAGCTTCTTCAGTTCTTTGTCTTTTAGAAAAGCACCTTTGGGTGTGACCTATAACCTCCATATATGTGTGGACACAAGATTTTTTTTAACAAAATGAAAGGAAATAGATATGTCGAAGACAACAACAGTAGAAGGCATCTCTATAAAAGTTACAAAATGTTCAGGACTTGGTTCTGAAAAAGCTGGAAGCATTGTAGATTACTAAAATTCTCTTCTTCGACCTGATCATTGATGACAAAGTACCACCAAAAGAGTAACTTCTCTCAAGTTTTCTGGTCAATGCCAGGATTGCACCCTGATAAACTTACTAACATCTATGAGAATGGGGATATCTGTTCACCACCTCCATGTGCCAACAATTGTAATTCTTCTGGCTGGCGTCCAGTATGTGGAAGAGATGAGCATCCCATCTGTTGAGATCCTATCAGCAGGTGTCCAGTAGGATTGGTTAGCCCTGAGTTGATCTCACAGATTGATAATTGATTTTGCTTTGGGATTTCAAGAGTGGAAACAGGGATGGGAGCTGCAATTAACTGCTCAGGGGATGCCCTTCTGTTGTGAGATTTGCTAGCAGTGGATGAAGTTTGAAGAAATTATGGGGTGAGTCTTAATTCTGATGAGATTTGGGGAATGGTCTCTCTCTCCAGTGCTTTGCTTTGGATTTGATTCGGAATAAATGCTGTGGAAAACAAAAGCAAGTCAATACAAATTGTTACTCATTAATGTAGCTGTGTCTTCCCCCCCCCCAGAATTATCAGGCTTGTGTGCCCTGAAATTCTGGAATCATCTTCAAAGATGGGATGACAAAGCTGTGAATCAGCAACTCTTTCAAGGGAATCACATTGGCTCATTGCCAGCAAAAATGTGTCACAAAAGATGTCACTTGAGAGTTGAAAATGGCCATTATTCTACTCCCTTGGCCTGTGTGACACAGTTTTTATGTATTTGTCCTGTTTTATCGTGTAGTCAGGCCTGTAGAGCTTGGCTTGGTCTAGGTTTTGTGCCTTTTCCTTGGGGGTGGGGTGGGGGTGGGGAGGCAAAGAAGTAACTAGGGAGCAGCCTTTTACAATGTATATTATCTTGCATCCAATCGCTTAAGGTTTGTTTAAAAACAGCTTTGCCATGAAGAAAAAGAGAACTTGATTTCAGGTTTTCCTTCAGGCTTAAGGTGCTTCTTCTCTGCTTTCTTCCTCCTTCCAATTAACTCTCTCCCAGGGTTTATTAATTACCTGGTGAATTTATTTATTTATTTTTTGCTGCTGAAGTGCTTTCTGCTGTAGTGTTTAACATCTTAGGAAAGTCTGAATGTGGTATAAATGTACTTAGCAATTCAAATGTAACCCTTTCCTTATTTTTGCTTACTGAAGAGGAATCAGCTGTAACTTCAGGGCCAAATAATTTTGCAACAGTCCTCAAAGCAATATCAGGAGTTGTTTTTGAACTGTAATTTTTATTGTGATACAAGAGAGATGCTATGAAATTGATTTTTTTCTTGTCTTACCTACTTTGTTCTGGCTCCACTCCCATTTTAGAATGTTGTCATTAGCATACAACTCAAAGTTCAAGTGCCTTTTTTTCTGCTCAGAAAATATTACAAAATTCTGGCTTCTAAGATCTAGTTGCTGCCAGGCATCCACCGAATGCACATGCTCTAGTGGATTAAAATATAAAACCCAAATGCCATTCTAATCCAACCAGAGGCCCCTGAAATCTATAAGCTGGGCAGGAATGAATAATATTCTCTGCTTATTTTCTGAGGAACCAGTAGCCCATTGCACATGGCCTCCCAATACTGGAGGTAATGTATAGCTCTTATGAATAATAATCATGAATTGCCCCATTTTTCATTAATTTATCAAATCTCAAACCTTCCAAGTTTGAGTCCTCAGCTTGTGTAAGTGAACAGTGTCATCATAAGCAGGAGGCGGTTAGACCTATCCAGTCTTTGACTCTCAATCTTCTCTTGCATATTCTTATATATGAGAGTTCCCACTGTATAAATTGGGTCTTGTTTCTGCTAAAAAGCCCTGGGCAGAAGAAACTAGTCCCGTTCTACAAGAAGTGGGTTTAATCAGTAGGCAAGGAATGTTCTGCACTCAAACAGCTCACTTCCAAGACTTAGCATCCAACTGGATGTTTTGTTGGCCTTTAATCAACAGAGATCTTCCTTGGTGCCACCCTCCTAGTGAACCTGTCTCGTTAGGATTTATATTGCTTAAATTCCCAGGTTCACTGGCTGGGACTGTGTCTGAAACAGAGATAATAATGAAGAAATACGTACAGGATTTCATTGTCCAGATCTACGATCCTCAGAGAGAGGAATTGTATATATATTGTTTTGAGAAAATATTTACACAATACTCATCTGGCTGGTTTCACATATGTAAAATTTAAACCTATAGATAAGAAACACATCATCTGCCTTATGATGTCCTTCCTCTTCTTACCCCAGTTCTCTTTTTCCCCCATCAGCCTTTTCTTCCTCACCTTTCCCAACATGACTCTTTTCTTGGCATTTTCTTGCTCCCCCCCCCAACACAGACACAGATATACACATGTGCGCACGCGCACACACAAATACACACACACAAATACACACACACACACACACACGTGTGAACACTAGTTCAGAGTCCCCCTTGTTAGGGAGAGCTTACTCATTTGATCCTTGGTTTGCATCTAGGACTTGGGTTATGGGATAAAGTCACACCAGCTACAAATTCAGATTGACTTCAGCCAGGCTCTTTGAACAAAACTATTCAAAGATGCACACAATCAGGAGAATAAAATAATAAAATGCTTCCCACTTTTAAGACTATCCTGTTTCCTATTTTTTAGAAAGGTTTTCTTGGAAAATTAGATTTGCAGAGGGAAGAATAAAGCCTAGTCTTTCCCTATATGTAGAAAGCTTTTTTGGGTGAAAAGAATAAAAATATTTGGTATGAGCAAGTAGACCTTTGTTGTCTTATTCTGTTGTTACATTAAGCTAATCATGTGAACATGGGATGAACCAGGACCCTGCTATTTTATTCTTGTTATCATATTGCAACTGTAGAAACTTCTCTCGTAAGTGCTAGATGTAGGCATTTCTGTAGGTATAAATTTGTTTTCTGCTTCTCTTAAAAGTAAGTGCAGTTGAGTCTCTTGCTTTCCTTTTTAACTCAACATTGAAGGGTGGCTTAGAAATTACGGTAGCTCAGTTCAAATTTTAATTTGAGCATATCTATTTTGTACTTCCTGAACCTCTGTGAATTGGAAATGTAATTGATAATTGTCCTATTATTCCACAGTAAAATTCAAATTTAAAATTCATGCCCATTTTTTAAAAATTACCAACTTGAGGCAGTAATGGGGAACAAATAAACTTTGCAAAGCTGAAGTGAAGAGAAATTGAACAAGTAGAAATCACTGTAACCAATTAAATTCTCTGAGTAAATGCTTTATTTGGACAAGTTTCCATTTATTGTTGATGCTATGCTACTAGGTTTACAGGCAGCAAACTTGTCTAAAGTCTACATCGTATAGATATTGTAGTGGATGTTTTAATGACAGGAGCTGTAATATTTGAGTAATATTGAATTTGTTTACTCTAGAGTGGCAGTAAGCAGCAAAAATAAAAATCTGGGAATTATCCCACCAATGATTACGAGCCTTTCACTTTTTCCCTTAGTAAAATGTCTTTGGCAATTAGGTTATTTGGTTATTATGTTTTCAGTGAGGCTTTGAAGAGTTGTTACTTCTGGATCTGAAGTTTTGTTGAGCAATGTTGAGAGATTTTATATTCAAGATTCTGGAGGATTGGCAGATGGCATACCTAATGGTTTTACCCAGGTTTTTTTCTTAACAGTATTAAAATCTTAAAATGGCCAATCTAGCTATAGGTAGAGGTGGGATTAAGGTGGAAATTAACTTATTCAAGTCAAACAGAAAGGATTGGGTTGTTGCCATACTTTTGCCAAGGTTTGGTTCTTTGCAATCTGTCCCTGATGTGTTAGTCATATTTGATGTTCCTAAACTGTTCTAATTATTAAATTTCCAAGCATATTTGTAGTTCCTTATCTCAGAGTTAATTTTTATTTATGTAAAATTCTATTCAGATAGTTTTGGGTGACTTGCTT